AGTATCGAATGGTATCGTGCGGAAGAAGTTCGTGGTTCTGGAGGTCGGATGATGTGCTTTGAGCGCTCTCAAACGCAATCGCTTAGGTATCTGCGGGATGCGTCATCACGTCAACTCCGAGGTATCACTATATGTTTGTCTCCGATGTAGGCCCTTCTATCTACGCTACGCGACGGTAAGTTGAGGCGGTAAATTGATAGTATGCCGACTATGCGTATTATGCCATCTTAATCCACAATGACAACAGTTATTCGCGCACCTAGGGTGTCGTTGTTGTAGACTGGCAGATCGCACCTAACCTACTTGAGTAATCTACATGCGTACTCCCGGAGAGGTCGCAAACAGAAACCCGAAAGCTGACGATCAGAAGCCAGTTGAGGAGTTGCATTGAAGGAGAATTGACCTGCCACCAACGCAAACGGCACACACCTTGAGCAACCTGAATTTCAATCTTCATGATGTTGCAAGTCAAGCGAACTCGTAGTATCACAGCAGCGTCTTCAAAAGAGACAGTATCGAAAAGACGTAAAACAATCGAACAGGTCCAGCAAAAGGGCAAAGAAGAGACGCTTCCCAAGGTACAACCAGCACTGAAACTCCATGCGATACGCCAACCATACGAAGTCTCCGCCGACCACCCTCTCCCCAGCATTCAACACGACAGCGAACTCCTAGTAAAAGTGCAAGCTGTCGGCCTCAACCCAATCGACTGGAAAGCACCGTACGTACCGATCACCCAGCCCCATACCCACACATCAACTAACATCCCTCCAGCGACTACAACTTCGGCATCCCAACCCTACCTTACATATCCGGCCGCGAATACAGCGGCACAGTCCTCTTCACCCCAACAACACCCTCATCACGGATCAAAAAGGGCGACCGCGTCCTCGTCCCCTCAACCGACTACCGCGACCCACGCAAAGCCGCCTATCAACACTACAGCATCGCATCCACTTTCAACACCATCCGTCTACCACCGAACATCACCCTTAACTCCGGCAGTATCCTAGGCGTAGCTTTTGTCTCCGCGGCCCTCACACTAGGAATATGTCTCGGGCTCGATTTTTCCGACATCGAGGACGGGCCTGACATTCTCGGTATTGTACGAAGTCTGGATCAGGAGGGTATACCTAGTGATATACGCCAAGAATGTTTCCATAGCATTGGCGTCAAAGAACGTATCAAAGCCGGAGATAACCTGGTTATCTGGGGCGCGGGATCGGTGTGTGCGTTCGTCACGATGCAGATAGCACGATTAGCCGGGGTGAAAGTCATAGCAGTTGTCGATGCCGTAAAACACGGTTCCAGACTTCTGGCCTCGGAAGCAGCGCGACCGGATTATCTCGTTGATGCCCACGACGCAGGAAGAGCGGTGGAAGTAATCCGCGCATATACGGGGAAGACAGGCGCGCGGTTTGGCTTCGATACGCTGGGCAGAGACACGGCGGGGCACTTGATGAGCGCTCTTGCTCATCCTACTGTTCCAGCTTCGTCACAGGCCAAACTGCCGACTCCGCCGTCAACACCGCATACCCCCGTTTCTACGGCGCAGCGGTCTCATCTCGTGGGCTTGACGGGTCTGCCGAAGGATGACGTACCGAAAGACGTTGTGCTGCACAGTGTGCCGATTAAGCTTTATCACGAAGTGCCGAAAGTGGGCGAGGCGCTTAGTGCGTGGTGCGAACGGCTGCTCGCCAAAGGGATGTTGGTACCGCCGGATGTTGTGGGTACGGTGGAGGGGTTGGAAGGGGTGAATGCGGGATTGGATCGGATGAGGCGGCGGGAGGTCAGTGGTGGGAGATTGGTTGCTGTGTTGAAGTAGAGTGAGGTGAAGGAAAAGGGAAAAAAGGGAGGTTGGTGCGAGATCTTGAGATGGATGAACATGTGTGTAGAGGTAAGGATATCCCAATGCATTTTGATATATAGTACAAGTCGCAAATCTCCATCTTGCCTTTTGTCACAAAAGACTAGACGATGAGTCTGCGCAAAAAGCAGTGGTGGTCATCCAGGGTATTGGTAATTCGTAGTCGTCGTCGTTACAAACTACGCCAATGTAATCCCCTTCGCTGCGCCAGCCCAACTGGGCAGCGTCAATGCCGGCAAAACAAAGCACCGCAACGCCTCTCCAAAATGCATGATTATGCCAAAAGCCGTCAAGTTATGGCTGCGTTTTTGCTACGCCCCTCCCCCAATGCGCCCATGATGCAAAGTCCAAGTCCATGATGATGGGTATAGAGAAAGAGAAGAAAAAGGCAAACGTGGAGACCAAGAAAGGGGTATGCGCTAAAAGACAAGGCTGATGAAGATGAAGATGATTGCTGCGTTGTCGTAGGGATAAAGAAGTCATTTCGGGTATTGAGTTACGCGGTTCGTGACAAAGGGTTTTGTTCAAAAAAAGCGACAGGAGTAGCAACGTTAATGTTCGTCTTCGCTGCTCCACGCGCCGTCGTCTTCTTGATCGATACTTTCCATGACTTCCTTGATGACGCCGTGGCTCTTCGGGTCCAGATTCATGGCTATCGTGAGGTGGCGGATGGCGCTCGCGCGGTCTCGCAACTTCTTGTAACACCTACCTAGCAGGAAATGTATGTTGGGGTCGTCTGGAGCAGCGTCTTTCAGGTAGAGAAGCTCGTGTAGGGCCTCTTGCGGCGCGTTCAACTTCAGCAGGACTTGTGATTTGCGGAAGCGTGCCATAACGGAGCGTGGTTCGATCTTGATCGCGTTTTCGAACTGCAGCAATGCGGGTTCAGTCTTCTTCATGCGGTCCAGAACCTGCGTACTCATGTTAGTATTCGACAGACAAGTAAGAGCAATGATTACTTACCAAGCCTATCCGAACAAGGAGCATGGCGTTGTTCTGGTTGATCTCCGCCGCTGCCCGATAATGCTTCTCAGCCACTTCGTACTTGCCCAGACGCTCGTAGACGTTTCCAAGACCGTACCAACCGTTGTAGTGCCTGTTATCGGCACTGATGGCGTTGCGATAAGCCGCCATGGCTTTATCGAACTCCTCATTTGCGACATGCTCATGACCTTGGAGGGTGAAAGCATAGGCGAACTTTGGATCCAACTGGGTAGCTCGAGCGAAGCATTTGACGGCTTCATCATGCTGCCCGTTTATAGAGCTTGCATTACCCAGTGCACACCAAGCTTGTGGAGAGAGACGATCTTGGTCCATCAGCGTGTGTGCAAGATGACCCAAGGCCACCTCGTCCCTGAGCTGCCAGAGCGTATTGGAATACACTTCCATATGCTCTGAGGAAGCAGGTGCCAGTTCTCGTATCTTCCGAAACGTGATGGCTGCGTCTGTATAATGTGTGCGCTCGTAGTGGGCCTTGCCGATCTGCGCCAGGACCCAAGGTGTTTCCCGCTGTGACTTGGGCACGAGTCCAAATGCCTCAAGTGCCTTTGATGCATCATAGCGACTTAGATGCCTGTAGCCAGAAGCTATCTTGAGGAGCAGGTCCAGCAGCCAGCTCAGAACATCTCGGTCCCGTGAAGTATCTGCGGGCGGACCCATTCTTGGGGGCGGTGCGACAGTTGTCTCCGCCACGCTCCGTGGTCTCTCCGGCTTTGTGGGCTCAGAGTTGTCGACATGCGGTTTCCTGTTGCCACTAACAACTCTGCCCACAGTCGAGCCTGTCCCTGAGCGTGGCTTGGGAGCTGCCGCCCTTGCTTTCCGTAGCTCGCGCCGCTCTTTCGACTCGAGGTCTCTGCTTGATGTGCCGCCTGGTCTGCTACTCGAAGGCCGAATCTGAGTGATGGAGTTCAGCAGCCGTACACTGCGCCGTGGGGGAGCTGCTGTAGGATCGAACGGTTGCGATTGTTGTTGTGATTGGGAGTGAGGTTGCTGCGGTGCTTGTGAGTGGGGCTGCGGCTGCTGCAGAGAATGGCCAGATACGGTTCTCTTATGACCGTTCTGGTATACGGGCCGCGGAATGTCCGTCTGATCACTCTCGGGGTTTGTCTTGGTACGGGCTCTTGATGTTATGGGGCGCATTTGGACTGGGCCGCCAGCCTCACCCATCATGGCGTGCTCGTCGTGTACGTTTTGGCCGTTGACAAAGGGGTTTTCGACGTCGTTGTATGAAGGCGGCTGCGCGCTGCGGCCATTCATTCTGGGCTGAAGGTTGTATGAGGAGGCGGGAGGGAGCATGTCGGGCGTTATTTTGAAGATGTTGTGAGGGCGGACGACGGCGCCAATATCGCAGAGACCGGTGAAGGCATCCCACATGAAGGAGTTGATCTTGAGCGCGGCGACAAAGTGTTCAATGGCCCTTTTGGAGTCGCCGTGGGCTGCGTACAGCTTTCCCAGCATGCAGTAGCAGGCGGCGGCGTCGGGCACGTGGCGTCGTGAGGTCTCGGAATGCTTGTCTGTGACGAATGTCAATACAGGTCACCAGTGTTTACTCCTATAGATACTCACTCCAGTGGTTGCGCCCTGCCCAGGAACTGCGCATTTTCTCCAGCGCCTGGGCTCCCTGCTCGTAGCGGCCGAGGGCGAGACAGGCCTGGGCAAAGACGTAGGCGCATCCTAGATGCTGGGTGTGGTTGCCCTTGGCCCGCGCATCGTCCAGGGCTTGCTTGTATCTCCCCAGACGGAGGTTGCACAGGGCAAGTAGGTGCGCGGCATCGTGGCTGCGGGGGTCGAGGGCGTGCAGGCGGCCGGCAAAGAACAGGGCGTTTTCAGCGAAGCCGTTGTCGAGGTGGTAGTATACGATCTGGCGCAGCTGGGCATTTACGCCTGGGGGTGCTGACATGCTTGCTGGGCGGCGGCGGAGACAGGGCGGAGACTCAAGGTAATGCGCTCATAGTCGGGGCGGCGTTGGCTGGAGCGGCGGCGGTGGTGATGTTGCGGGCAGGCGGGTGGACGCGGTCAAGGTGTAGGTTTACGCGCTACGAGTGCCAAGACATGTAACAAAACAATGTCCCGCCTAGAGACGCACGACGTTTCTCTCCACACGTCCAGCCAGTCACAGCCACATCGCACCTTCACCATGGCCAAGGTACGCCCGCCCGCCCGCCGCCCACTGCCACGCACCCGTCACTGACAGCCCCCGTAGAAAGCCACCAAGACCCTCGCGGCTTCCAATGCCCAGCGCCTCAACCAGACCCTCTACATCACCCTCGCCGTCCACGGCCTCTGGTGGCTCCTGCGTGCCCTCGTCTTCCGCGCCTCACTGTCACGCAAGTCATTGATCGTCTATCTACTCCTCTCGGCTCCGCAACTGCTCATCCAGCTGTACTTCGAACGCCTCTCTCGCCCTACCCTTGATACCGATGGCGCCGTCAAGCGACCTGGCGAAGACCTCGATGCCAAGGGCCTGACTGAGTACATGTGGGATGTCGTCTATTGGACGTATGGCTGCATTGTCATGGCTGCCATTGTGGGAGACTACGCCTGGCTCCTGTGGATTGTGATCCCCGTCTACAGTGCCTATTCCGCTTACACCACCTACACTGGCATGAGGGGTGGATACCAGGATGCAGCCGGTGTTCCCCAGCCGCAAGCAAGCAAGAGACAGGCCAAGATGGAGAAGCGAGGTGGCCAGAAGATGCAGTACCGGTGAAGGCCAGCGTCAGATCATCATGTATTATATATACAGCATTATACATAAGTTTAGGCCTCGACCTTTGTGGGAATCTTGGGGATGCCTCGTTTGCGGTCCTGGTGCGGCACACCATACCGCCATCCAGCAGCCGCGGCGCCTCTGCCGTCTCTGCCTGCAGTCTCTACGCTGACGTCCTTGAAGACGAAATCCCACCTCCGCTGCGGCACCACTTTCATGGCCCTAAGCTCCTCTTCTTTGCGCTTCTCTTCTTGCCTCTTCTTTGCTTGCTCTTGTTCAAATCGCTGCTCGGCAAGTTTCTTGCGCTCCTCGAACGAAAGTCCAGACTGCAACTCACGCTCAGCCTGAACAAGTTCTGGATGAGGAATGCGTGCGTCGGCCGGCAACAACGTGTTGTCAAAAGCCTTGCCAGCATCTTCACGCGTGAATTGCCGAGACTCAGCAACAGGCACAAAGAGCTGCTGGCGTGTCGCGGGGTGTACCGCGAGGTCATTGATGGGCTCGTGCGTGATAGGACGTTTGTTTTTGTTCCCAGGAAGCGAGGTATCGATGTGTGGGGTTGTTGGAAGCATGGAAAGAACCGCCTTGGAGTAAGGGAGCGCGAGTGTTTTGCCCTGTACGCATTGAATTAGCAATTGTAATACAGCGTGTTTCCGTTGTTTGAAAGAACAAGCCGACGACGTTCAGCAAGAGCATGACTTAAGATTTGTAACCATGTGGATGTCTTAAAGACTAATCGATTTTTAAGAAGCTCATCATGTCGTGTTGTGGGGGAATTGATGAAAATGTGAGAACATACCTGCGCTATCCACTCTTTCTCCATTTGCTTCAGTCGCACAACAGCGCCGACGCGTTCATTGCTGACGCCAAACTCGACACTGGCGAGCGATACTGTCGCCCCATCTTTCTTGACTCTCCGCCAGATTGCTTCCCGGAGGTCTTCGCTCAATACTGGCTGGCTGCGGAACCACTGATTGAGGGGGAATGGCCGCAAGTCCTCTGCCGTCTCAGGCGGAAGCTTGCTGTCGTCGTCCGCTTCTTTCGGCTTCTTGGTATCCTTCTCCTCGGCTGCACCAGACTGAATGGCAGCATCTAGTGCATCCAGGCTCTCCTGTCCTGCAGGCGTGGCCTTTTCTGTCGTCTCCTCTGCCTTGGCCTCCGCTCCAGCTTGCTCTGCCTCAGTCGAGGCAGCAGCCTTCGCACCCCCATCTCTCCGCCATCCAGGGCCAGCGCGTACCAGGTTGCCGTACTTGTCGTAAGCTCCTAGGTAGTTTGTGGAGTCGGGTATAGGCTCCTTGAGCTGTCGACCCGGCCCATTGAGCCACTCATAAAATTTCCGCCGCCGTAATGTGATTTGTGGACATGGTGTCTGTGAGAAATGTCGCGAATGCCGTGATGGGCTCCAGGCGACCTGTGGCCGTGCAGCTAAGCACTGAGTGGCCTGCGATGGGGTGGCCGGTGTTGAGAAATTTTGACACCGTAACCGAGGAGGCATGTTGAAGATGTGGGAGGCTACCGCATTGGCGCAGGTATGGATTGGAGATGAAAGGAACAAGAAGGGAAGTCGTATACACGTAAAGAAGCTTAGTGGTGGGAGTGGTAGGTTGGAATGCAGAGAAATGAGGAGCTCGCAGGAAATTCTAGTGACGCGCTACGTGCACTAGTGTCTTGGCACAAATGAGCATCGTGACCCTCCACGACTCCCTGGTGTACGATATGATCACTGAAATCTACTGACGCCTCTGAACTTGCTAGGAAGACTTCTCAGATGACCAGAGCGGCGTTGATCTAATAAACAACAGGATAGTTTTCGCTAATTAAAGATAGTCACAAAATAGGATGAACCTTGGAGCCATCATGCCAACCCATATTTACATCAGTATCGTATAGAATACATGTCCACTGCGAATGTGGAAAGGTCAAGAACGCTTTCCATCGTGATGTACTGCATCATCGTAACTCGGCGGCGGTTCCTCACTACTGACCCTCTCTGTCTCCATACTTCGACGTCTCCTTTCGTACTGTGGCGCACTTGGTGGCTCTCGACGAGCTTCATCCAGTGCGCGCTGAGCCTCCTCGCGTTTCTTTTCCGTCCTGCTATTCTGCTCTCGAGTTGTGATTGGCGGCGGTGGCGCCGATGATGAAGACCCATAAATTGCTTCATGTTGCTATAAGAGCCGGTCAGCTGACATCATGATAAACGTTTCAGGATCGGAACATACAGCAATAGCCTTCTTCTCCTTACGCTCGAGTCTTTTCTCGGATATGGTACGTCCCAGCTTCTCGGCACCGAGGCCGAGACTGATGGCAAGGAGGCCAGCCTTGGTCATGTCAGTGAGTTGTCTCGTGCAGCTTGTTCATTGTAAGCTTACCATCGTAGGTCGTTCGGAGAAGTTGGAAGTGTTTTGGGCGCTTGTCTGAAGACGTGCTCGACGTTGTCCACAACAGCCTCGCGCAGGTGGCGAATACAGCGCTTGTTGTTCGAAGTATCTCTGACGGTTCTTTCTGCAACACATTGTGAGAAGAGTTTGAATTGAGTGTTTAAAGCGTTCAAGTTGTGCTTGTAGTGCTGAACTTTGAGAAGATGCCGATTCTTTCATTGTGGTCTTCTGCTTACCTTTATACTATGTCGAATCCTACCACGCAGTCTGACGTACGTGTCGCATTAATGCCCTTGTGGAGATGCCTGCAGTAAGATGAAGCGTTTCCAGTATTGTTTTCTCGCTTTCGGTAGTGTTAACACGCCAAACAAGTTGAGCAGATTGATCCGATGCAGTCGTTCTTATGACTTACGGCCGCAAGACGGTGACGTATGGCAATAGTGGCGTCGTCTACACAGTGATGATTGGCTATTCAACCTACCATTAGGCATGCCGTTCTAAGCGAATGCGAACTGTTACTTCAGAAACTACCATTTCTACAACCGAAGTTTAGCGTATCCTAGTCACGATCCGAAAGGTGAGATTCCTAACGGCGTTCACAGTTGAAGCTTGTTCCTACGTTGCAGGTTGCGCGGACCCAGGGAGTTAGGCCAATCGCTGCGATAGTCTAGTCGAACGTCAATCAAGGCCTTGGAACGTTCCCCACAACACGCGATACTGGAAGCACTCTTTCTGCCTTGCATCGCGACGGTCATTAGGCCGAAGCCCCAGATTACTTCAACAAATATGTGTGGAATTACATGACAATCGATCGTAAACCATTGACATGTCTCGTGGGGCCAGGGAATGAGGGGCAGAAGGATAGCATAGGAAAAAGACGGGTGAGCAAACCTATGATTGGACAAAGGCCGTAAAGAAGCATGGTACATGGCCGAAGCAATGGGCGAATGAACGCCTCCGCACCTCTCACAGGTGCACAAGATGGGTTTCTCCAGACCCTTGGGCAGCGGCGCTGAGCATGTGCCATGGAGGGCGTAGAAGAGGACAGACTGACTGTACTCGACGAAACTTGCTTTTGGCCCGGGGTGTGTACCGGCATGCCGAGTCTAGGCGCAAGGCACAGTGATTGGCAGAAAAGGCCGATGGTGCATGTCTGCCTGATAGACGATGGGACGGATAAGCAGCTTGGACGGGTGACGATGGGTTGGGCTCAGCACACCGGACGTGCAATGTCAGCGTGCCTTGGTTGCTGGCCCGCAGATAGGGGCCCGTGGATGAACGATAGTTCCGTGGATCAAGCGGTGCATCTTGGGGCCGATCTCTCTCGCCCAGGCCGCGACGACGATGGGGGAGAGGCTAAAGTCAGCCCTGGCTATACTCGAGGCCGCTAAGAGCCGGAGGGCCAACAAGACGGCAAGCAGCCCAACGCGACGAGTCTCGCCGTGGGAATCGAGCAGGCTGGTGTAGCGCAGCGCGTCGTCGAGTGGTCGAGATGGGGTACCTGTGTGACGGGCGAATCCAGGACTCGCACAGTAATCAAATTAGCTCCGACGCGCCTTCCCTGGGCGCATCACCAAGTGGGCAGTCGCGCCCCCGTCAACGCTATCCTGAGGGTTTCACTTGCACTTCTGCCGCCTCTCCTCCCCTCCCACAGCCGCCCCATTGCCTGCGCCTGCCCACTGCCTCTGCCTTGAATGATGAAGTGCTAGGCTGCCGCTATCGCCCTTCCGCCTCTGCTGCATTGCATCCCCCGCTGGCTGCGATTCCTGCCCTGCCGCCCATTGGCTTGACGCTTGAGTGTGCCAGAGCCTCGACAGCGCGCATCGCCCAGGCCCGCCGCCCGCCCACGCTCACGCCCTCGACCGCCGTGCCCTGCCTGCCACTCCCACTGCCCCCGACACCCACCACCTGCCCAGGACCCGCTGCCGCTGCCGCCGTCGCCAACACCATCACTGCCGCCATCCTCACCATCGTCGCCATCTTGACCGCCGCCGACGCGCAATTCTTCTGCGCCGCCGCGTCCTTTGTCGCAGCCACACCCGCCGCACCGCCGTCAAGACAAAGGCCGCCATGGCCGCCCGGCCGAGTCCCAGCAGCACAAGCCCCTCGAACCTGTCCAACAGCCCCTTCCCCCACGGCTCTCACGGCTCCCACAGCAGCTCCACCTCGTCGTCGCCGCCCAAGCCCTTTGCATCGCACAACACCATGACGGCCGACGTCTTCGCACCGCACATGTACGCCATGCCCGGAGCCGTCGGAGAGCGCAGGCCCCTCGACAAGAGCCCCGCGAACCACGCGCGCTACTCCATCCTGTTGCGCAAGCTCCCGAGCAGCAGCGATCGCGACGCCGTGCGCAACATCCTGCTGTTCGCCAAGGACCTGATCGACTGCGAGATGCTCCCACCTTCCCGACATGCCGACGACAAGGGTTTCGCATCTGCCATTGCGCATTTCCAGACGCTCGACGGCGCAAAAGAAGCGCGTCACCTCCTCGACGGGAAGCGCAATGCAACCAACGATGCGACGCTGGTCGTCGAGCTGACGCAGGACGCATCGCCTGGCGCAATCGGCTCGCGCCGCAACACAGTCGACAGCACGCCGGCGCGACAACCGTCTGGC